GTTAAAGGGAACCTCCTTGGAAAAGCTCGGCAGAGCTTACAGAGATCTCCTGTTAATAGATTAATATGATACATGTGATACATTAGTAATAAAGTGACAAATAAATAAAAAATATTGAATTGATTGATTGTCCACTGTTGTAACTGTGTCGACTGTGTATTTCTTTTCAGCTTTTCCTTTAAAAACAGAAGGTGTAAGTTTCCGCGCAATGGATTACAGTCCCTTGTTAGGGGGATTTGCTGTAGTGTTGGCTGATGGCAGAGGAGGATTTTTATCTGCTGAAACAGCCATCTTTGACTGCTCTGTAAGTTAAATTGTCATGAATTTTGTGTTCTGTAATACATGTATACAAGTGAACTTCCATGAAGTCAGATGTAGGCCACCTGTTAAGCTATCACCCTTACCACCCTTACTTGCCACCTTTGTTGTCACCTAAGAGGCCATTATATAATGGAGGAAAATACAGTCTGAGAAAGAAGGTGACAGCTTACAGTATTGTGGACCAGTAATGCTGCTCCTGCAGTGTGTTTGTTCCTAAATTAAGAGATATTTCTGCTAAAGATTATGCTAATTTATGACAAACATCCATTCAGCTGCCAATCTGCATTAGGTGTCCAGCCGTCCTATAACCTGCGATCAGGCGATTTTTTTTTCCTTTGGCCAAAAAAAAAAAAAATCGCCTGATCGCAGGTTAGCCGTCCTATCGACACCCGTTTTTGGAAGAAATACAAGGAAAATTCACCCTCTTATGGGAGGACATACCCTCTGGACAGTGTCTGGCTAAAAGCCTGTTTGTGATGCATTGTTCTTATGTACATGTAAGACCCTTAATGCTGTGGTCAATTGTTTTTTCAGCAACCACGCAAAATCTAAAGCTTTAGTGGCTGCTTATAGGAAGTGGTCGCCCAAAGGCGGTCCTTTCTGTGAAGAAGTCCCAACACATCGACCTTTTGAAAGATAATTCATTGCTTGCACTGGGTGTTTCAAAAGTTTGTGCCCTTGAATTTAACAGAAAGAATAATCTTTCTGAACTGAATGGGACAGGAAGGCTTGTAGTCTCAAGTAACTTAAACTGCATAATGAAATGATCACAGCTGTTAAAATTTTCTATAATTTACTGTGCAGTCTTGAAGGTGGTGTTTTAATCACTTCCACTAGCTTCGGGGAAACAATAAACATAGGGAACGCTTTTAAAAAGCTCTTTGCTCTGCAACTTGGTCATTTTTTGTTATTGTTTATTTTAAGGAAATTATTGGTTTGTGGGCCAGAGATTTAAGCTCAGCAACCTGTGTCACAATCAACCACAGATACAGACTAATTGCATTTGGATGCACAAAGTGAGTTAATAGGGACTTTTAGCATCGACAACGGCTACGGTTCGACGTCGTTTTTAAAATGAGTTAGCGTTTTACAAACTTTATCGCGTTTATTCCAATTCGCTGAAAATGTCTAACGTAGGCGAAAAGCGTGATGCACGTGCAAACTTGTTGTTTTGCTTAATAAACCTATTGCTGTTTTGACGTCCTCGTTGCCGTCGCTTTCGCCATTGCTAAAACACCCCAATTACATAGAGTCCAAAAGAGCTTGCTTACAAGTTAATGGCTGTATGACAAACCTATAGGCCGTATTCACAATGATGAAATTTGACTACAGCTACCAGAATTTATTTCATTTTGCTTTCTTATTTTAATTTGTCAATCCCGCTGAGGTTTAAAAAGAATAGCCCTTATTTGCGAAAGAAAACAAAGAACTGAAGGATTCTGGTAGTTTTACGTAGTAAAATGACATCATGGTGCCATTGTCCTATTGAATGGTTAGATCCATAAAAATAACTTCGACTTGTATTTTAGATTATTTTTATTTCATTGAACAGAGTGCTAAATGTTTAGGTGGATTGAATTAATTTTTTCTAAGTTTGAGTTCAATAATCCCCACCCTCCTTTGATTTACTGTACAAGTGTATGCACCTTCTTAATGTGGACATCTCTATCGAAGCTGTAGAGTACAAAATTACAATCTACCTTCATACACAATGTGCTTACTTGTATTGATCCTTGAATAACAATGAACAATCGTATAATAATATTTTAATTGACAGTGCGCTTGGTTTGTTTGGCTTCGTTCTTAAAGGAACTGAATGGCACGTAATTTTCAGCTTCTGTATCGTGAATCTCTCTGTATTCAGTACAGTTTATAAATATATTTTTCTTAAAGATAATCCCTTAGCTCTGTATATTGCACTGCGATTGGTTCGAGTTCTTCTGCTTTGGCTTGTTATTCGGACATTCTGTTTTTCACTAATCCCAAGTGATCGACTACAGTTGTAGTTAGCCGAATTGAAATGCTGTTTACACTAGGTCATAACGCCTTGCACCTCTAATTAAAACCTTGAAGGCAATTTTAAAGGTCGTGCAACAGCTGTGATAAGCTGGCTCGAATGGAGCACGACCTCGTTTCGAAAGTCGACTTCAGTTCAGTTGAACAAAATAGCTGTTGTCGAATACATGTACAATGCCAGGTAAGTAAGTTGAGTTTTGCATGGCGGTAGCACTACTATTGAAACCATATCGTGCTTAAGTGGAATTAAATTGAGTTCGGCACGGCAGTAGCAGGACTTTTGAAACCAAGTTGTGCCTAATTCGAATTAAACTGGTTTAATTGAGTTCGGCACGGCAGTAGCAGGACTTTTGAAATCAAGTCGTGCTTAATTCGAATTAAACTGAATCGATTGAGTTCGGCACGGCAGTAGCAGGACTTTCGAAATCAAGTCATACTTAATTCGAATTAAACTGGATCAATTGAGTTCGGCACAGCAGGAGCAGGACTTTTGAAACCAAGTCACGATTAAGTCGAATTAAATTGGATCAATTGAGTTCAGCACGACGGTAGCACGACGTTTGAAACGGACCTGCGTCCGATTCCGCCACCGGTGACAACTAGCCTTACATGTAATTAGGAGCGCATCTTTAACATGACTGTTTGTCCCCTTTAAAGAAGTTCGGTTGCATTTGCGAGACATTTGCTAGTGCGCCTTTTTCTACCATTCAATGTAATAATTATCATATTAACTTGGCCTTCTATTTTCTTGCAGTGGTGAATGTCTAGTATATGGTTTTGACGATTTAACAGGAGCTTTGCAGCTGTCTCACAAGCTTGTCTTATCAAGCAAAGACTACCCTGGTATCCTTTACACAACAATGAATTGTCACGTATGTACAACACTGTACTATTGTTTGTTCTCAGATAATCTTGGCTTGAAATAACTAACCACTATCGCCTTGTGGAATCCTTAATCCTGAGCTTTGAAATCCGGAATTCAGCTCAAGGATTCCGGAATCCTGCTAATGATTGTAATCCAGAATCCACGTTCCACTGATAAGGAATCCAGAATCCAGTAACTGAAGTCCAGACTGATCCACAGCGTGAAATCCAGAACCCAAGACTGTCATGGCATTGGGCGACCGTAGGCGTCGGAGTTGTCCCTTTCGTAAACGGTCGCTGCCATTTGTTAGACACTTAGAAAATTCTTGACCTGCTATTGAGAGTGTTTCTATTAAAAAGAAAGAAAATCGCAACCCAGAGTCGAACCCGGACATCGAACCCGGGCCTTTAGTGATCCTAATCTCTCTCCCTTACCACAACACTGCCACGCCGACCCGCCAAAATTCCGAAAAATGTAAGTACATAAAGTAACAAACTTTTGGATTATTATACATGTCTGAGAAACTGTCCACCTACCCTTCCCCTAAACCAACATTAACACTTGGTTGTTACTTAGGGCAAAATGTTGGCTTAGGGGAGGGGTAGGTGGGCGGTATCCCAGAAACGTATAATAATCAAAACTTTTTCTTTACTGATGCAGCAATAACAGGTGACCGTAACCATTTCCATAACATTTTACGTAATTCAACTTCGGTGTAGCCTGCTTAACTGGCAGGATTGTTGTATCCGGATTTATTTTTACCGCCAGCTACTCGGGCTAACTTGGACATCGTTTTTTTTAGACTATTTAAAAACGTATTGTTTTCGTTATGACTAAAAGCTTGGTTACTAATGGTGGCATCGACTGATAAAAATGGCAAAGACCGTTCACGTAAGGGAAGTAGGCATAACCCGATCGGTCGCGTTGTCAACTTATCTTAGCTCGGACAACACACGTTGTTAGTCGGTCAAATATTGTTAAATACTGACTTACAAAGATACGTTACGAACGTACAATGCAGAAAAATGCGAAAGGATTATCCTTACGTGTCAGCGTGCAAAGAAAGTAGTGTCCGATAGCCCGGGGCTCGTGGATTTTGCTATCGGGCTAGTGAATTCTGTTTTCAACTTGCCCGACGGGCAAGTGATGTTTTATGAGGAGTCTGAATAACAGAAGAACAAAAAGTTTTTGGGGCTAGTTGAAATGACGTCTGGGCTAGTAAATGCTAGCTTTAGCTTGCCCGAATGGCAAGCTGTAAAAATGATTTTCTTTGCACCCTGCGTGTATACACTGAACTGCACATGAATTATCATTATCACTCAGCAAGAACGAATAACTTTGTAGGGGACAATATGGAACAGACTAACTAGCCCGCGGAAAAGCGGTGAGAAGACAAACGCGTTACCGTCGAGCGGACTATAAGTTAATGGAAAAGTACTAAGAAGATAAGGTTAAAGAAACGGTGAAGCGACAAGTCAATCAAGTTGATAGACGCTGCGGCGCTTTTTCGAAGAAAGACACTAAATATTGCCGTTGCCAAAGTTGCAAATTTATTGTGTTTCTACGAGCTATAATTTAAGAATTATTGTTATTGTTATCACTGTTGTATTTTGCTCAAAATTTTTTTCATGAAGGAACTGCTTTTCCTTAACAAAATTTAATGATGACAGATACCATCCAGACCACAGGTGGTGTCCAGTGCCTCTCGTGGACTCCTGACGGCTGTGCTATTGCAGTGGCCTGGTCCTGGGCGTGTCATGGTGGACTTGCTGTATGGAGTGTTTTTGGATCTCTTCTGATGTGTACTCTGGGAGGAGACTATGGGTACCTGAATTCTAAATCATGATTATTTGATTCTGCTGTTTTACTCAATTTGCCATCGAAAAAAAACTTAGATTCTTAATGTTTAAGTTCAAGTTTAATGATGTTTTTTATCACTGTTCAAAGATATACTACAGCTAATAATAACAATAATCACCATAAAAACTATATATAAAAGTACAGTAGTCAAAGGAAAGCAATTGGGGGAAACTGAACTCCCATATAAAAACTGCTCTCCAAAACTTAAAGATAATACAATTAAAAATAGAATATCTAATATTTTACTGTACATTATTTAAGAAAAAAAACTGGAGGAACTACTTTTTAAATAAATAATTAACAAAAAAAGAAAGAAAATACTAATATAGTAAGAAGTAATAAAATGTGAGAACCAACAACAAACTCAACCCACATATGGCGTCAACACCGGGATTTGAACCCGGCCACATTGGTGGGAGACGAGTGCTCTCACCACTGCGTCATCCTTGCTCCCCACACATCAGAATAGCCATGAATTCATTTGTAAAGTTGAACCAAGTAAAGGTATTTCCTTCTTAGCTCCAATGTTGATGTTACTTTCTAAATCCCGCAGGACTTCTCAGGAAGCAGTGCTCCATAATCCACTTCACATTAAATCAATGGTAAGGTTTATACTGATAAAACCGCAGAATGGAGCTGACGTGCTTTGTGTACATACACTACTACTATTTCAAAACTAAGGGCAGTTTTATGTTTATAGGAAAAGTACAATTGTGATAAGTTTTTGATTAGCAATCCACATCAGCACCTCCCCGACTTTGTTAAATCCTGTAGAATTAAATTCGGTGATCATTTGTGTGTGGTCTATGGACATTTATCGTAACCACATTTAAGAGAAAAAAGTTTGTACGTGGAGGATCTATAACTCAGTTGATAGAGCGTAGTACTCAGAATTGCAAATTATTTTTTTCTCTTGGAGACATATTATATGTGCAGCTAAGTCACCTTTCTTGTCGGACTAGACAAATGTGTCTTCGGACACGATCAAGGACGCGTTGCTCGTCTTAAACGAAAATTGTGCATGGTAGGCACGGAATTGGAATCACAATCGGATCATGACTGACCACAATTAAGATTTTGTCTGATATGAGCCAATTTTTAGTCAGACATTTTCTGAATATTGGGTGGTATTTGCGGCTCGGTAGTCAACTCTTTACAGTTAAACTGTGTTTATATGCCTTTGTAAGGGGTGGGGCCCTGAAGGCTATAACCTGGCGATGGTGTCTGCAGAGGAAAAAAGTGGGTCCGCAGGTAATGTGGTTGTTGTTTTAATATCTAATGATAGTTCGTCCCTTTTGCCCTACTTAGAGAATAAAATGAAATAAAAAAGAAGGGGAGTACACCATAAGAGCTTACAGGTTACCAGCATCTACATGTATTGGCTTATTTTCCGATAACAAGGCCATTAATACGAGGAAAGACAAGACACATCTTAGTAAAGGCGCGTGTTAAATAAGACGCAAACTGTACCATTCATACGAGCATGCCCTTTGCGTCTTAGCGAAGTCGCTTCTCATTAAAGACGGGAGGACTTGGTGCAATTCATAGAGGAAGTTTGCGTCTTGTTTTAGCTGCGTCTTCTTTACGCCGTCCCCTTATTTCTTTAAATAAATGGCTTTGATGTGGCTATCCAATCAAAGACATAAAAGGTAACGAGATAAAGGTATTATAATCCAACGTCCTTGATGCCGGCATTTATTCGAGGATAAACGAGACACGTCTTACATAAATGGGTCCCAAGAACAACACGAGGATTTCTAGTATAAATGTATCGTAAAACGCCTTCGCGTCTTAAAGAAGACGCAACGAAGTGTACCCTTCCTAATTACTCGTATGAATAGTGCAGTGCTATCTAACTAAGTCGCATCTTTGTGAGGCATGTTTTGTATTCCTCGTATAAATTGGCACTAAAAGAGAAATCGGAGAAAATGACGCAAGACTATATTACAGAAATGATTTCAGATATTTTTAGACGTACATTTTTTTTTTCAGGCAAAACTATACCAAAAGAAATTGAAGTGACCGATTAAACTGTTTTGCTTTTTATATATATATATATATATACAGCGATATAAATCATTCCATTTCTCATTATTGAATAACTTTTCATTTTATGAATTGTTTCAGGTGACATAATGCAGCTTCAGTTCGTGAAAAGTGCACTAACAGTTAATCCGTGCATGGTAAGTAAGCCCGTGACGGGGTGTTGAGGAGGTTATCTGCAAACAGTTTACCTTTGGAAGATCGCAGTATGCTCGCAGGCAGGTGTTTAGGCTTGGGAACTTACTCCACATTTTATTTAGGCTATGTGCACCGATGCCATTTAGGTTATTTAACACGTGCTTTGTTCGGCTGTTAAAGTCTCAAATGTCAAAAAAATTTTTCCCGCCTTATTGCTTAAGGTTCTCTAGCAGCGCCCCGTGGCCACTGGCGCCTTACTTTTGCCCTTAGACGACTAGGAAATCCTAGGGTTATATTATATATATCGTATTCTGGGTGACCTGTATTTCAAAGCACTGGACTACCTTTACCTTTCCTTAGAACGTAGCCTTGGGCGGAAGGACGTTTGGTTCTTAGAGTAACCCTCGCTATACTTGACGTCGTGTTTATATACAAGTCATGTATATCTAGAATTGATGTTTTGTTAACACGAAGTAAATCATGATGAAGTAGAGGAAATTACATGGCCGCGCGGAGATACGAAATTTCTCTTCAAGTGTTGAAATATTTTTCAACACGAGAAGAGAATTGCGTATCTCTAAGCGGCTGTGTAATGTTCTAATACTTTTTTTTGCTGCGAAAGGCGCGCTTTATCACATGTTATTTTTCACGTGTGAAGATATGGCTTGTCTTGCGCGAAAGCTCACCAGTTATTTCATTGGTGTTTATATAATAAGTAGTGGAAATGTTATTAAGTTTAAATTGTTTCTACATCCCTTGCAGAGCAACCATGAGCATTTATTCCTCCAAGGCGAGGAGTGCTTGTACCTGAACACTGGAGACATGGTGTCCGACACACAAGATTTAATCGAGAACACTGGCACTACTCCTGTGATTGGTGGACCAGTTGGTCATAGCACTCTGGTCAGTAACAAGCAGTGGATTGTTATACAGGTGAGGGCTGCAAAGTTAGATTCAGCAGGGTAAATTGGGTAACAAGAGACGTAGAATGAAGCTAACATAGGAGGCTAATAGTGTACGTTCGCAATCGGAGGGAGGAAAAAAGAAGACGGCAAACTTTATAATATTTGACAAGCGTGGATATGATTATGGTACAGTGGAACCTCGATATAAAGAAGGGCCAAGGGACTTGCAAAACATTTCGCTATAACGAGGTTTCCTTATATTGAGGTCCTTTTCCATACATTTTACTATCATTGGGGTAAAGAAAATCGTTCGTTATACTGAGGACTTCGTTATATAGAGGTTCGTTATATCGAGGTTCCACACTAATTGGCTGTCTTAGATTTCGTTATGCCCAGGACTTCTTCATGTAGAGGTTCGTTATGTCGAGGTTCTACTGTAATTGGCTGTCTTAGATTTCTTTATACCGAGGACTTGTTATATAAAGGTTCGTTATGTGTAGGTTCCATTGTAATTGGCTGTCTTAGATTTAGTTATACCGAGGACTTCGTTATACAGAGGTTCGTTATGTCTAGGTTCCACTGTAACTGGCTGTCTTAGATTTCGTTCTACCGAGGACTTCGTTATACAGAGGCTCGTTATGTCTAGGTTCCACTGTAACTGGCTGTCTTAGATTTCGTTATACCGAGGACTTCGTTATATAGAGGTTCGTTATGTATTTTCCGATTGCGGTCTATCGTCGGCGTGTTTTCTTTTCTTTTGAAAGTCTGCTACCGATTCAAACTATTTTATCATTATGTACATATACACCTCAAATTTACTTGCCAACAGTTTTAATTTTGTTTGTCTGTGTGTAAATCACCTTTCCAGGCTCCTTTAAATTATTTGGACAGCAACTGGCCTATCAGGGTAAGTAAGTACAGTTGAACCCGCTTCTTATTTTGTTCCGACGGACAATGCATACACTATTATATGAAAGAAGATCATTGCAGTTATGGACCCAACTTTTGCAGCTGCGAATAGAAATTCTGAAAAATTTCAGGCTTGTACGGAATTACCGTTTCAGGCTTGAATCCCGTTCAAGGCTGTAGTTTTTTTTTTGTTTTTTTGTTTTGTTTTTTAGGCTCTCTTTTCGCAACTGCAAGAGTTGCGTCTATAATTGCGATGATCTTGTTTCATGTAATCCTTCATCCCGCAGTTCTCATATATGATTTTCATAAATTCATAACTTCAGTGCATACATTGTTGTTTCAACCCCTTTACAACAGCCAACCCTTCACATTGGCAACGCTCACTAAATTGCGTCCAGTTGAGATTCAAAATAAACTCTACATAACGGCCTTTTAGAACCGGACGATGAGCAAACTGCGGGCCTTTTTACATGGAGGCGGGGGACCCTAGATAGGCGAGGTCACCTCGGGTGACCTCCACCTATCATGTAAACGTGATCATATTAAAATGAGAGATTATAGGGACAGGCAGGTTACCCCACCTAAGCGGGTTACCTCACCTACCTTCGGTCCCCCACGTCCACATAAACAGGCCCTGACTTAATGTAATTGATGCAATAGACACCAGGGGTGTCTATTAGATGGGGGCGTTTACTAGAGAGGCGCAAGCTTAAAAGAATCGAGAGCGTTTATTTGAGAGAAGGTGTCCATTGTGTCGTTTGCGGTACTCAATGTACCTTACTTGCAGTGAATTGCAGAAGTCTTCAACTGAGTAACAGTGAAAGATACTGATGCCACAGATTTTGTGTAACAACACGCGAAGCAAACAACTGAACGCGATAAGGTTTAGTTTTTATTGTTTTTTTGTTTGCGGCGATGCACGAAGAAAGCAGCATCTTATAAACACCACTGGTATATTGATTTTCCGCCACCTTGGAGAGTAGGTGTACCCTACAATTATTCTAGGTCATTGTTTTAGTTCAATCTTTTTTTTGTTTAACGCTTTAGTATGCGGCTGTGGACAAGACTGGTCGTTGTGTTGCAATAGCTGGAAGAACAGGGATCGCTCATTATTCACTTAACAGCAGAAAGTGGAAACTGTTTGGCAACGTGTCACAGGTACAGGAAGTTGCTCTCTGAAGCTTGTACCGTACAGGCCTAAGCAATGAAACAACCGCCTACCTCATTTTCCTTTTCACCCGATCTTCAATTGGCCGCGACAGGATTCGCGTGGTCGGTAGAAGGCTAACCAGCGAAGCATTAATGTCGCGGGCTCGATTCCTTGGGCCAGACAAATACTCAGGGTCTTAAATCGATTAAGAAGGAAGGTTTTTCTCCCGCCTGCAAACGGATAGAACTTGATGTGGCTTGAATGATCACCTAGAAATGAAGGTCTCGGTTTTGCTTTTTTTTCATTCAATACTCACATAATTTAAAGTCACCTTTTTTGTCAAGCAACGATTGATTTCTCTGCTGAGATTTTCAACTTCTAATTTAACAAACATGCTGTGATATTACTTTTCGCTACATTGCTTTATACATTTTTCTTTTTTTCAATAAAGGAGCAAGGTTTCTCATGTCGTGGTGGTCTGTCTTGGTGGAGAGAATTTCTTATTGTTCCCTGCTACAACTTTACTTCCTCGGCGGACGAGGTAGGCTTACATTAACTGCCACAGGGTACCCAGGCTCTTAAACATTCCTTTCCTTTGCTACAATTGTGTGTCCTCAACAGACGGGTTAGGTTTAGCTTTGCGTACTGTCTTAGGAAGACCGCAGCAGGCTGTGGCACAGTCCATCCAGTGGCTGAATAAAAAAATGGGTGGCAGTGTTGCCTTATGATCCAAAAAATGGCTAAGCTTCCTGTGCATAGAAGACAAAGGGACTTTTCGAGAACAATGCCATTGAGGTTCATATGTTGTAACTTTTACCCATTATTAATTTCGTGTTGTGTTTGTATCCTTCTTACAGGTTCGTTTCTACCCCAGAACTTGCAATTTAGACAATGCATTTGCGGTAAATGTCAAGTTACCGGCTCCAGCTTTCCTTGTGAATGTTTTTCGATGCTTGTTGTTGGTGTACTGCGCTGATTCCAGGGTGGTTTTCTTTTCGCTGGAGAGGACAGATGTTAATCCAAGTAAGTCGTAGTGCTTAGCATGGGACCAGGATCCTTGGTGGGGAAAGAAGGAAATATTTTACAAGACTGCTTTCTTTCAGATGTTCCAGAAGTGCAAGTTTCACGCGTGCAAGAAGTATCACTTGTCAACCACGTGCCACATCCCCTAGCAGTTGTTCATGTCACGCTTACATCGTTATATGCAGGTAAGTCACGCAAATCGTTAATCGTCTTAAAACCTAGAAAGTAAAGGTCTCCTTACAGAATTAAAAGTTTACGTTTTAAAACGAACTTTCGACGCCCTTACGGTGTCCTTGTCGAGTCTTATTCGGATCAAAACTTCTTCATTGATTCCCTTTTTTACCCAAATTTACTATGAAGTCGTGGAAAAACTCAGAGGAAATGTCAAGCCACGGGAACGACGTCGTAAACGCTAAAAGCCCTGCATGAGAGAAGCGCCCTTCCCTATATGCTCCGTGAAATTATGAAATGGCAGGTTATTAGTTAACAGAGACCTTTAGACTGGAGTAAGAGAACGGCAACAAAGACGAGATTTCACTTAAGTTTTTCTTTTCTTTTTTTTCCGCGTATTCTCACAAAAAGAGATACACACCGAAAAGTTTCATTTTCCTTTTTTTCACCAGAAAAGTTAACACGGCTATTTTTATTAAAGGAGGTTAATCCCTCTTCCGATCAGCTGTTAACATCTGATAACTTGTTTCCGTCACTGTGACAGTTTTGTTAAAAGTCGTAGAAGAATGACGACGCCTATCGCGTTTCCCGCCACGTTGGTCCACGCGCACCGGCGCACTACTTATAGCGCTTAGAGAACTAGCAGGCCAGACCGGTTATTTTAAAAGTAAAATGTTTGCATTTTATAGAAATTTTCTATAAAACCCACCACTTCCAAGCATACCATTTAAAAATAGACTAATCTGACTGGACAGTCCTGGCTGATAGTGAAATTCTCTTTTCAACTGGACCGGTCTGAACGACCTGAGTTCTTACAAATGGAAAATGTATCGAGAAAAATCTCGTTTTAGTACTCGTCCTTGTCTAAGAATATTAAGGTTTTTTTCTTAACATACTTTATAGACTACCAAGGCTTGGAGGGACTGGACGGAGTGGAGTCGCTTATCACTAATGTCGGCGGTCGGCTGCTTATGCTTCAGAGGGATAAGAACTATCCTGAGAGAAAAACGAAAAAGGTATCTAGGAATGGTATAGTTTCGAACCTCCTCTAACAGCCACCTCCCTACAACGGTAACGGCCACTAAACTGCATCCCCAACTGCCAAGATATAAAACCTCTCGACAACGGCCGTTTTTTTTTTGTTTTTTTTTTCATGAGTGACTGGCGAAGTCATGAATAGTCACGAAATTTGATCCGTATGGCGCTTCCATCTTTAATTAATGGTGGAAATCCTTACAGTTAAACCAACCGACAGCAGATGGGTGTGGGAATAAGGTGCCTGGTGAAACCGAAGGGGGCCGCAAGTGAGCCCAAAAGGTAACCGTGATAACCCTTTGAGCGGCACCCACCAGGCACTATCACACTGAGAACTCTCGATTTTAACCTCCCGTAAATTATATTTAACCACATATAATTTATGGTTAAATGTTGGAACAGTGTTTTTTTGGTAAGAACCGTGACATCTCGCTCTAGCAGACATTCCTGGACAACTCTATTTCACCTATCGCCACTTAAAAGAAAAGAAAATATCGGGAATTTTAAACGCGTAGTTACGTTTCTGTCTGTCCTTTTACATGCCGCAGTAAGCATAAATTGTCTACAATACTTCTACCGGATGCCGCGAACCTTGTTGGTTTTGTCTTGTTAACATTTTGATTGAAAACATTATTTTTTATTGTTCATTATTATCTATATACATATGCCATAGATCAAGTCTGAAGATGAATTCTGTTATTTTAATCCTTTCTGTGGTAATAATAAACTGTCCTTGATATCGCCTAGTCTTCGTTTTGTTCGCCTGTTGTTCTGGCGTCTTGTGTGGAGAATGTGTGGACTTCATCAACATCCAACCAGAAAAAAAGGCATCTGATGGAGGCTCTGTGGCTGGGATGTGGTGCGAATGGAATGAAGGTACAACTTCTTAAAGAGTAAACTGTCATGATTTTTCCGTAAACCATGTTATGCTCCCTACAGATTTCTTGGTAAGACTGGTTTTCGTTCACCCATGAATGTGTGAAAAAGTGCCATCTTTACTCTGACATCTGCAAACCGTAGGCTCGTTCCACTGTGCTCGTCTAGGATCTCACTGTGCCTGTGCCTCTGTTAATCTTACCCTGTGGAACTTCTGTCCTCCCCATAAGCTCCCAGAAGCCTTTTGGTGTCGTAAGGAGGCTGACGAGAGGGGAAAAAGAAAGCGCGCGGGGGAGAATGGGAAGGGGAAAGAGAAGAAGAAGAGAAGCTGCCTTTTCCCTCTTCCCATCCTCCACTGCTCCTTTACTATTTTTGATTTTATAGGTCTGGCTTCCTTTATTTCCTGGAGATGATGATAATCCACCAAACTTTCTCTCCAAGAGAATTATGCTGCCATTTCATCTGAACATCTATCCACTAGGTATGCTATTCAGTACTTTTTAACTTCTCGTCATATAACGAATTTTAGGTTACGAAGGACGGTAGGGTAGGAAAGTTCGGGGCTTAAGTATTTGCGGAAAATTTACCTTTCAACATCGAAGCTTTTTTGCGCGGTGTTAGCTCTTGACGTGCTTTTCTAGAAGGATGTGTCAGCTCTGATCTTATGTACCCCGAAAAGTTGTATGGGTGAAAGGACTCAAGTTGGAGTCTTGTACGAGCGTTGTAATCAATCATCTCCTCCGATCACATTTGATTACTTGCCTCGCCGTAAGCTCATTATCGATTAGTTAATTGAACGTTGCAATGGAAACACTGAGGTAAATACTTAACAGCAGTAAATTCTAGTATTGAGCCTTAATTTCATTTCGTCCATAGCTGTTTTATTTCAAGACGCTGTGATTCTTGGTGCTGCTAATGAACCGATGCCTTTGGAATGCACATCACCTGCCCCAACATCTCTTTCACCGCAAGCCTTTCCTTTCTGCACGTTAGAAAGAACGGTGAGTTGTGAGTATATCAGATCTACTTCAGTTTTGAACCTTGTAAATTTCTTGTGATCATTCAGTGTAAGAGTGGAAAATTGATTATGTCTTACGTAAGTCCATGAGCGAATAACCTCTGTGAAGCCTGGGATTACGGCTGCCTCTCACCGCTCCCTAGTCCCTTCGCAGCCGTTGTCTTTGTCATCACGCTATACGTTCCTCCCCCTACAAACTTGTGGGGAGGAACGTTGCATGACAACACAAAGACGGTTGGGTAAGAGACTTATCGATCCACGCCGCTGGGACGTTTCGCGAGAGAGACGTCTGCGTTTGGTTAAAAATACTGTGCTAACAACGTAAATCTGTCCATCAAGAGCTCTGATCGGTTGACGCTGTATCTAGACTCTATTTAGGTATCTAACTCTTATTGTTCATTGGAGGCCATTATGGTTGTGCACATGCGTGTTTTTTCTTCTGACCGTTCTTCACGATGTATTCCGATCCTTACCTGACTTTAAGTCTGCTTGTTTGTTTTCCTGCTTGTTTTGTAGACTCAAATATATCTGCACCACATCCTGAGGCAGCTTTTGCGACGCAAGTAAGTGTTTGCCTGTTCATATGATGATGCATTGGGTGAATAGCCATTTGCTGGTTACCCTAAACGGAAAAATATGCTACCAATATATGTCTTTAGAGTTTTTCTCTTTCTTACCCAGCTTAGGCCAGCAAGCTCTGAAAATTGCCAACATGTGTTGTGATCTGCCATATTTTCCTCACGTGCTTGAGCTTATGTTACATGAAGTCTTGGAAGAAGAAGCAACTGCGTCTGAGCCTATTCCAGGTGAAGGGGGAGGTCATCTTGGGTGGAGGAAGGGGGGCGTTGGTGGTGGTTGATTTTGTTCTGTTTTCGCCCAATGGTGCCTTATATTGTTCACTAAGGCTCAAATAGAGCCCGTTCACAACAAGCTAGCAAAAAAACAAAAACAAAAACAAACGATCGTCACCTTCTGTGAGCAAAATATTGTTGATCTACAGTAGGTTTTAATGAGCAAAACAGTGTTACCAATAAAAGAGATCCCAGGATTGTACAGAAATATGTAAAATGCGGTGTTTTGTACAGACCCGCTTTTGAACGTCTATTTGCGTCGGACCGATCCGGTAAAAGTGCTTTACAGGATCAGCATGGGCAAAACAAAGGTGTTATATAGCTCAGAATACGCGTAATTCCGCTTCTGATACCGTAATGCATATTGAGAACAAAGAATCTGGTCAAGTAAGGACGAATGAGAGGTAAAACAAGACCTCTCCAGTCCAGTTGTTGAACCGAATCCGCAATGAACTACTTGCTGCCTATTTTATAACCAACATTCTCTTTTTTTGTCCTTCTTTGTCTCAGACGCTCTTCTTCCTCGTATTGTTCGGTTTATCAAGGAGTTTCCTCAGTATCTGGAGACAGTTGTTCATTGCGCCAGAAAAACCGAGGTCGCTCTTTGGAGTTACCTGTTCATGGCTGTTGGCAATCCTCGAGAACTGTTTACAGTAAGAATAGCAAAAGAAACTTTAAGCTTAATCTCTTTTTCTTTTTAATACACCTTCGACAGGAACAATTGACGCAAGACGTTTCTGTGAATGGTCACACTTTGTAATTAAATACACAATTTTAGAAACTAGATTAAGAACGTCGTTAGAATTTAGCTCGGAATAATACACGGAATCGCAGAGAAGTACTTCTTAAAAGCTTTCATTTTTAAACTTGCACTCGTGGTTAACAGGTGGAAGTCAATGTTTTTGCTGACGCGTACAGCATCTTTTACGAATTGCACCACAGGAAAGTACTGCTCACTTGTTTGTAGCTAGCTGGCGAGAAAGCTATCCTTTTTGAAAGGCGAGCGAAGCGTCCCGTGAGACGACCGGCGAGCAAGCGGGAAAGCCGCTAGGGACGGAGGAAAGGAGATCTCGCAATAATCACAAATAGCTTTTCATTTCTTCTTCACCTGGGCAAAGGGAAATAACGTTGACTGGAAAATAACTTACCGTGAAATGATTTTGATTGATGAAAGTCCTAGCTGGGGTGCAATAATTTTCGCAGTTTATGTAGATGTATGAAGTTGTAAGAAAAGCGCTACTGAAACAGTGTATGTCTTCCTCCGAAGGCGTTTCCGCTACTAGCTGTCTCGCGTCTCTGGGAATGCCTCTCGCGCGACAATACAATGTCCCTCATATGGGGGGAGAGTTACTTGCTGGCTAGTCTTAAGCTTCATTTGTCGACTCGTGATTATCTATTTTGTTTGGTCAGAACAATGATTGCATTCATATTAAACCTTTCCTAACAGGAATGTCTTGCCGCTGGCAAACTAGAAACTGCAGCCTCGTACCTTATCATTCTTCAAAACCTGGAACAACCGGCTGTTAGCAAACAAGTTTGTGCATGAATTTATGCTCTGTTTTAGGGTGGATTCATTTGCAACGTAGGCGTATAGCTGTGGCATTTGCCTGCTGGAATTTTAAACTGTTTTTAAGCCTATAAACATATACGCATGTGTTGCAAATGAATCCACCCTCACTGTGATTGATCATTACAGAAATAATGATGCTGTCACCCGGTTTTACTCTGGCAGGTACAGCTTGCGAGAATTCTCCAATTTGAAGGTGTTTACTCGCACCTAAAAACGTGCAACAAGTGCACAATAATGTACCATGGATGTCTGCATTTTATGCAATTACGTTCCAATCAGAAACTGCAATGTATTTTTGTATTTTTGCAGTGCTAATGCAAACCCGTGAAGTCATTTTGCCACAATACTGAAACAGCCTCGTGCTCAGGGTTTTCGAGACTGTGTGAGACGGCGCGAGAGACTTGCAAAAAATTAAATCACATGGCATCATGGGAAGGGGGGTATTGGGGGAACTCCTAAGCTGTTACCTTTCCGTCGTCCCTTTTGTGCACGATAAAGTAAAGGCGTCTCTATGGAGATAAGCGCAGATTTTGATAACTAAACAGTTCAGGGGAGCAGGAAAAATGTTTCATTTCGAGTGCAGTACTGATACGAAGAGCCAAGAAAACAACGTTGTATTGTGGCAATAACTTTTTTTTTCTTGTCATGTTTTTAGCACGCTACCATCTTACTCGATAAGGCTCTGGATGGCTGTAAGTGGAGTGTAAGTGTAATGAAATAGTCTTAAAAATTGTTTAATTATATTGGAATAATCCGTCGTCTTCTTCAATGCTGGGGTAAATAGTTATTCTATTACAGACCAAGTAAGTAAAAGCAAGTTCCTCCTAATCATATTATCTCAATGCAGGTGTTTTCTTGAAGCACACTATTCGCTACTTTTCTGAGTCTTTCTCTGCCGTTGGACTCAAAAGTGGCCGCAACACATATGAAATGTTGCTAACTCACTTGCCCCAAATTTGCGCCTGTATTGGAATCATGTAGATCATATATCAATTGTGTGGTACATTAATACAGTATAACTGAGACATTCAAGATTCGGAAACATTTACAGCGTTTTAAATGCGAGTTTTTTAACTCTCAAAACACCGTTTGATGCTAGTCGAGTGTATCCGATTTCTGCTAAGTATCTGGCCAGACAGAACCAAAAGTATTGGCTTGTTGCAAGTTGAACACTACTAGTACTCTGGCTTTTGCTCTTGGACTGAGTTAAAGCTTCGAAGTTTCGACCTTCTTGACTTGAACCTTTTGCGTTTTCTCCTCCTTGCTGTTCACATTTTCTTGTTCTGCTGCTTTATCACTGGAAACAAGATTGATGACCGTTTAATGACATCACAAGCGGTACAAGGGACTCGGTTCCACGCGGGAGAGAGGAGCGGGGAGTGTACGAATGTTTGTGCTCTAAAAGAGTTAAGTAAGATGTTTCTCTTTTTTTTCCCTCGGCAGATTGCCCAAGATCTCGTCCGTTTCTTGCGTTGCATTGCTGCAGATGAACTCGATTCTCCTCCCCGCTCCCCTACTTTCGTCAAACCGCACCTACCCCCACCCCTAGGATCAGCTGCGTCAATGGACAGTGACGATATTCCTTACGTGGTCAACCCTCATCCACGTTCCTCGAGTGTCTCGAAGCCTCCATCGCGTGGGCCTCTTACGCGGGGTAACTCTTTAGAAAAAGGATACTTGACCAGGACCGCTTCGATCGAGAGGAGTTCACGAAAGAGTGTGACATCAAGCTCCCCAACTTCAACAACTCCTCCTAAGTAAGTCCGTTTTTAATTGCCTATTTTTTGTTTTGTTAATCTTGTTTCTCTGGCTTGTTAGAGGGGGTCCGACTCTTGATTTTTCCATGATCGAAACAGTAAAAGAAAGCTGCTCAAAGTAACTTGGGACTCTTTCGAAAATCCCTTCGAAGTAATTGTTACGTAGAACTTCTAATGACAAATTTGTGATCGGCTTTGGGTTAGTCCTTTATCCTGCCCGCCTTACTCCTCCCTGCAATGATGGGCCGAAAAATGGAAAACTAATATCACTGGAATGGTCCCAACACTTTTGACCTCCACGGTAGTCAAGGTTGGTACCAGTCCTCCATTCAAAGCTGAACTATGATGATTAGTATTAAAGGCGTCTTGAAGTAACGGACATTTTGTTGTTCAGTATCTAAAACAAAAATTCTTGATCATATTGACACAGTCGCTTTTTACCACGTAATAAGAGGGTTAATGCCACTAGACATTATTTCTTGCCTTTATGTGCTGAAAAAACGAAAATATGTAAAGGTGGTCCACTCGGTTGAATGTATGACATTAGAGAGCTCAAGGAAAGGCCTATTTTGAAAGCCGCATGTCAACCGGAAGTGTACTTTTCGCATACTTGGGCAGTGGTTTTGCTAAAACGTTTGCGGAAAATCACCTTTGTAGGAGTAAAAACACTCCGCAAGAAAAATATTATCGCGTTTAGGCATATTAAAAGAGAAGGCCTTGCTTGTAGTTGACTTGCGTCGCTCAAAAACGCCTTCACTTAAGCTTATTATATAAATTGTTTGAACAGGTAACCCCACAAAATTTGTGTCTACATGCATAAGCCACTTGCAAACTATCAATACGGCTGACCCAAGATTGTATGAACGTTTCAGATACTTCACCCTTCCCGTATACCCTTATGAAACGCTTAAACTGGTGGGTTGAACTCTGGAAGTTAAGAAATGACTTGCATGACTTATGATTATACTTAAACAATTTGACGTAGCCTTACTTATTTATAACTGATGTTTTTTATAGGCGGCCATCAGAACTAGAAACTGCGGACAATTTTTTCATCGACACCATTTTAAACCGTCACGCTAGACTGCTACTGACCGCGCATCGACTCAGGGACCTCGGCAGGTTTGCCGCTTATTTAGAGTTTGCTCTTGTGCCGTGGCTTCGTAAAGAAAGGTAAGTAAGCAAGTAACAGGCATTTGATCTTATCGCCTTCAAATTTGTGGGTTTAACTACTTCTTCACCTAAGAAACTTTGTGGCTGTCACCTAGCATCAATTTCTCTCTCTGAAAAATTACCGGATATTTACCATATTCATTTGGGTTGTAGTGGCAGGTGATTCAAACACCTCCTCTATTTACATCTCCCACGTCGCTCATTGAGGGAGGCTGTGAAAATTTTTCCACGAAACATTTTTTTCACCTCTGAAGACATGAGGAGATGCAAAACACCAGAATTTCCCTAGTCAAAGCCCTATAGTTGGAACCTCTTGTAAACGACCATCTCTCTTAAGCGACCTCAACAACTTTTTGGTTGTCAGTGTTTAAATTTTCCTTTGTTTGTGTAATGTGATGTGGTGGATCAGAGGACAACAAGACGCGCCCTCTTTACATATTAACATGTTAACAGTAAGTTGGGACTTCAGCATACAAGGCGTCACTGGCAGCCGCTATCAGTCCATTTATGAGCTTATTGTAACCCACCTATAGCTCATGATATGAATGATGTGTGATGCGTGAAAGGTAGACCACACCACCGGGGAAACTTCCCCTACTCTTTTGAACAGTAGTGTGGGTTCTTTTTTGTCCCCTTCGATTTTGACTGCTGAAAGGAGGATGAAGGAGACAAGACCAATGGCTTAACGTCACTGCCCAATGACGCGATCACCTTAACTGAGACAAGGTCTCAAATCGTAGCCAGCATGATCTCACCACTTTTTTTAAAAAAAGACCCTGATTGTCTGTCCGGCCGGGATTTGAACGTACGACTTCCTGCTCTGCAGACCGGTGCTCTCCCAACTGAGCTAACCGGGTGGCGGTTGTAACCTCTTTTAAGCGACCACTTGACGCACTTTCTGATCTGTTTGCTAGATTTATGCACTATGCTACTTAGAATATTCCAAGAACTCTTAATGACAATATGGAACCACCATATCATATCTTAGAATTGCTTGCAGTACATTCTCTTCCAAAGAGTAGATGAAAAGGCCCCTGTGGTTCGATTCTCGTAAGTAACCACCTCCCGTAAGCGACCACTAAGTCTTCACATTTTGGGTAGTCGCTTATGGGAGGTTTGAAGGTATTTGTTTCCCTTACAGAAATCGTGCTGCCCGTGTGGAAGATTACATTGAAACTTTGAGAAATGTCCACAACACATTTGGTCTTCCGTATCCTGCTGTCAGTCAACAATCATTATCTGCGCCATTATCGCCTAAATCAGACACTAGACATGGTAGGTATAATCTGTCATAGTCGATAATAGTCTCCCACGCAACCATCTGTGACGACACAAATACAGCTGCGTGTGAGACTAAGTCTGTCTTCAATTCTAGTAGCGATTTTTGTTGTCATGAAGCAATGCGTATTTTAAAAAGAAGCGCTTTTGTGTGAGAAGTCGCTAGAAGGCTACTTTTGGTGCAAAAGGCCTTATTATTTGGAAGGCTCGTGAAGGTTAGTTCACAAACCTGCAGACAAACAACCTGCAAGTACCAACGCTATAATCTACCAAAGGTGCTTCCCAAATTGACGTCATCAGACACCAATGCTCTACGGGTTGATTTCCTTAGCGGGCGTGGTTGGACGTTCCCCCTTGGTTTCCGGATAAGCAGGAACATTGAACAAAATTTTAATTTGCATTTTTTAAAATTTTTTTGTACAAACTGCAAAGAACCCTGTTGCCCATTAAGCCCTTTTACTTTCCGCTGCGTGCATGGTTGTCCTGTGGCTCAAGGTACAAGAACATTTGCTCGTTATTTCTTTGATGTTGATACCCCTCCCCTTAGCTTGTTTTGGCGTCTACTTTTGTTCCGGAAGCGTAGATCTTCTAGAGCCTTTCGGTCTTCTTTTAATTTGAACTACCCTCATTTAGTTTGTTTGTTTGTTTGTTTGGCTATTCGTTGTACGCAAAATGCGTCTAAAAACTATGCACAATCCTCAGTCACTCCATGTTTATCACTGTGCTTGTTCACTTAAACACGACCAAATGTAGTGGTTGAGTTTTTACACTTCTATTTGTTGCCTATATGTTGGAAAACGAGTAGGTTTTGGATATTGACAAAATGATTGATTTCAACCAAGGTCGATTTTCATCAGTGTCTTCGTCAAGTAGCACCGCCGGTGGACGCCAAACCTTGAATGAGCTGGAGGGAAGAATGGAGCTGGGGATCGAACTTGGAGAAGAGGTGGAGGAAGAAGCACACTTGTCTCCAGCCTACAGAAGTGAGTCGAGTACTGAATCATGAATCATGAGTCGGACTCTTTTAGCTTCCCAGGTTATCGTAATGAATTGTATGGTGGGTGTGGTCACAAGTGTTGTGACTGTCACGAGTGATGTGACCGTGACGAGTGTTGTGACTGTGACGTGTCATGACGGTGATGTTTGTAAATAGTGATGTCTCCTAAATCCAGCGACCTTGCGAGCAGTGGTTTCTCAAGGCCGGACACTACGCTTCGATGGGAAAGAAACCACTGCGAGCAACCGTTTGCTTTTCCATCGAGCATGCGCGTCCACGTGATGACTACGAATATCCAACGACAAGACGGCAAAGAGAACTTCAACAAAACAATAGGTTTAATAAGCAAAACAACAACTTTGCACGTGCATCACGCTTTTATTTTTGCATTTCTTTGCCATTTTTGCGCGACTACGACGTGAAGATGCCTAATTTTGCGTTTTATGGATAACGTAAACAAGCACGACGAAATTTATTTTTCTTTTCGCTCTTGAACTTTGATATGGTCCCTTGGAATTCAACTCCATTTGGGTTCGCCTACATTTGACAAAGTAAGTAGATAGGAATAAAATTAATAATCCAAAGAAACACTGAATATCCACAGCAGGCTCGCGTAAAAGCAGCAATTGTAAGCGTAAGCAAATGCGCGAGAGCCTAAACTTGCTTTCAAACAGGATTTACATGTTTAAAGTTAATTTATTCGTCCATAGCGCTGGACGAAGGCTCAATCAAAGAAGCAAACGGTTGCTCACAGTGGTTTCTCTCCCTTCGTAGCGTAGCTTCCGGCCTGGAGAAACCACTGCTTGCATGGTAAAATCCAGCTTCTAAACGACCGAACCATTCCCGCCAGTGTAGCGTTACTTGGAATGAGGGCAGATTTCAGATTTTTTGCACTATTGACTAATAAAACTATATACAGGAGGGGTGGGGGGGAGAACAGCTGAGTTACACAAATGGTGGAAACTAAAGTGTGCCGGCAGTAACCAAAGTGGCTCAGCCTTTCGAGTTGATCACTGCCATGTGCAGTTAACTGACGTGGTAATGTTCATAACATAACATTCAGTCGGCATAATCGCTTTAGATATTGAAGCGTGATTGTTACTTCCTTGATTGTAGATGATGAATGTGGACGTATCAGCGGTGATCCGTCGGAAACAAGTTCATTGGCTTACTCAATGGATGGGGAAGAGGACTGGATTTGGGGAGGAGAGGGACCTGGGTTTGCGGATGTTCAAGAGATTCGTGCTCAGCTTGCTTTCAGTGGCTCACTTCAAGCCCTGAGAGAGATTAGGTCGGTTCAATATAGATCTTTGCCCTTTTTGGGTAGATTATAACCTTTACTGTACGTTTTCAGTGTAATAACAAAAATTTATTCCCATATTACTTTAGACAAAGACCTTCGTCGCAGCCTTCCAATCAAGGAAAGCCAGACTCCCGCATCTTTTTCGAAAAATACTGTTACTTTAGTGTCCTTTCTTAAAGAAGCACAGCTATCGCTATGAGGTTTCCTGTTCTCGTTATAAAGAAAATCTTTTAGCGTTATGTCCTTGTGCCGAAACAAGGCTAGAGGTAAACTTGTTTAATAGAAACTTCACTGCTTTTCACATATAAAGCATGTTTTCTCGCATATGAATGGCGCTGAGATTTCCGTCAAAACAAAGTCATGGAAGCCTTGCTTCCACTCAAAGGCGATGCTGCGTAGCATTCAACTATAAATTGGCCCTGAATATGAAACAAAACAATCTTAAGCCGTTGAATACAACGAACATAAGAACTGAACTAAATTTTAGCAAATGTTAGCTGATTCTTTCGCAAAACACGTTTTTCTTGACGTATAATGTCTTTTTGGGTTACATCTGCACCATATATTCACGAAACGCATTTCTTTTGTTCAGATTCTTGCTGCAGATGTTTATGGAGGCTAGATGTTACGACTGGTGGTTGATACTTTCCTTAGTGTTGCGTGACAGCACGTGTCTGACAAATTTCATTGACGACGCCATCAAACTTCGCGACACAAACGTGGAATCTTTGTCCCGGATGAGGGATGGAATTGAAGCTCTGGAGACATGGGCCGAGCACAATTGGTAATTTTGATCTCTTTCGGACCTACAATTATTATTGTTATTATTTTTACTTTTTTTTTTTTTCAGGCCACTTACAAAGAAGTTCTGATTTAATTAATGATAGTTTCCAGCTCAGTTTTTGTTGTAAACTGGCCCCTAAATCCAGATTGAAACACACTGCCACTTTCCTCCTAAGCTCAGTAATTTGTCTGTAACTGAGACTACCTCCATAGGAGTCCATTAGGGTTGTAAACGCACACTGTCACATATATATGTTCACAGTTGTCCTCACGAGAACGATATTTATCGTTCACCGACTATTCTTTCGTTCATCCCCTCTGGGTACTTTAATTACGAATACATTCTTCAGTGGAAGGAAAACGTAAACGTATAAGTTTGCTTATTATATCCCCCACTCAGTCAGTGCGGAAGCTGTGGAAGCTCAATTTTGCCAGCCGTATTCTACTGTTAAATTTGAAAATGTTCTTTCCCGCGTGCCTAATTAACCTTAGATACATAATTGTATCTAACTCGCTAACCTCCTTTGCTTTCTTTACTCGCTCCATAATGCAAGTTATGGATCCTCGATTTTTTTCCTGTTGAATTATAGCCTCCGGAATAGAACTCGCTCCGTACCTTACGGTATGGACCTCGAACTCAGTCAGCAAGAGCTTCATTGTATAATACACATTATTAAAAACTGAATCATTGGATAATGCAATTCTAGCATTTTGATTGGCTTAGCCGTTATGGTATATGAGCTATTATACCATGCTCTCCATATATGGTCGGTATACGCGTCAGTTTAAAATTGGAAGCTAGCTGAGATTTTTTTTCGCGAAGGATAGAACGGTGCCCGAAGCAAATCGTTATAATTCATTTCTTAGAATACTAGAAATGCAATTTCATTGAAAGAAAAAAGACAAAAACAAACAAAAAAGCCACAAGAGCTTGTTTGAAAGTTTGTCGAAAAACACATGGCACATGGAACTAAATTACCTTGACCAGCTACGAAAGAAGACAAGCGTTGTTTCTTCACGATCGCGAAGCCATTCGCCGATCGAGTCACTTGCCGATAGATAACTGCGGCTTGTTTATCCGACATCAAGAATATAAATCACAAGTAACCAGCTACAAATACAGGCTATGCAGCCATTAACTACAGCAATCGAGGCGGCAGTATAGCTTCTTTTCTCGTTCAGCAAAACCAGCTTGTGGCTTCAAACAACTTCATAACAAGCGACCGAGGTAATTATAGTTTTTCCCCGTTGTTCGTACTTTTATAACTGCACCGAAAATCCAAATTCACAGTAATTTCGACGGCTGTCATTTAAAAATTCTTTTCCTTCACATTATCTGCCAGGTTTTTTAGCTGTTCTGCAGTGTAAAATCCTAGAATCCCGATGAGTTTTTTAAAAAAGTAATGTTCTTCGCTACAATGTTTTGATTTTTCATTCATGCAGTTCAGGCGAGTCCGTTCGCGCGTTGACAGTTTTGATAGACGTGTGACATGTGAATAGCGGAAGTCCCTTGTCTTTTCCGGTTTGTTCTAGTCGGGGAGATTCAACGAGATTTTGTGGGCGTTTTTAATAAAAACAATTATTCCACTCGCACTTGTTGGATATGAGATGATTATAGCCAACTCGGCGCTACGCGCCTCGTTAGCTATATATCATCTCATATCCAACGCGCCCTCGTGGAATAATTGTTAATTACACGGACTCCTGACTGTGTAGACAATTAAAGACCCATTTACCCTCAAACAATTTCTACCCTTGTTGTTAATTATTTTTTTATTTTCACTTGTTTAATGCCGTGTTAATTTTGCGCCGTTTAATAAGACCAAGTGGGATAGTCAAGTTACACAGAGGGTGGCAGCTTTAAAATGAATTTTAAAACGACCCGAACTGATGGCAACTTTGACGCGGCAGCTGTAGAAATCTCAGATACATCATATATACATAGATTTCTTAAGACTCCCTTTACAAACTCTTAGAAAGGCCTTTCTCGTCATATTATTAGTATTTTTAACTAAATGACGACTGAAATTAATACCGTTCATCTTAATTGTGTCCCTTTTAGTCATGGCTACTATTTGTTCTTTGGCCTTCATAAGGAATACTGGCTCGCGATTGAGAGTGTGCTGACCAACGCTAAAACTGCGCCCAAAGAACAAAAGGACAGCAGTCCGTCTTCTGAGCCCAGCCATCTATCGCCGCGCTCTAGCGCAAGTAAAGACGACGATGGACCTGGGAACGAACAAGAATCATGTGAAGAAACAACCGAGGAAGACAAGGACGAGTACGAATGTGTTGTGTCGTGAAATATCTCTGGACTATCACGTGACATCGTGAAGAAAAACTTGGGACTTCACATTCAAGTTATAAGTAAGCGGTTACGTTGGAGACAGCGTGGGTTGGCCCTTACATTCGGGAGTAGTGAGGTTTGCAGCTCAACACAATTTCATGAAAAAACTGCTTAAACCCATGGTATATAATAAAACCCAATCTTCAGTTAGACCAGTGTTTTGTTTCTCGCCTTAAGATATGGTGGGGTGTTCCTCACCTGTTGTGGTTGTTGTTATTGTTGTTTTCCCTCCATTTTTTTCTATTTTTTTCCCTGTATATGAACGCCACTTGTAGAGACTATTTCCCTCCAAAGTTGTAATATTTATGATCTGGAGAAGTAGAGAAAGCTTGTATACCTTATAACGTTGTAAACCAGTAGACAGCGGCCCCGCTTTTCTAGATCTCCAAAAACTAAAAAATGAAGTGACTAAAAGGTCTCTACAAAACAACTTCCATAGTCAATAACATCTTTCCAGAGACCGGCAAACCAAACATTTTCACTAGGTTCTTCGTTTTGCCTTCAAGTCAAATTAAAAGGAAAGGCGACAAAAGGTGCTAATTCTTGTTTTTGAACCAGCAGGTCGTTATTGTGGCTAATGAAGTGGATCAGAAGGTTAATATTCGTAATACAGGCAAATCCTTTTATACCGTAGGGACCTTAACTTGCGTTAGTGTCCTCCTTTGGGAGATTCCGTAATAGAGGGAGTTTATGTCAGTCAAACGACTGTAATTCATTTATTTTTCCCTGGCCATGGGTGCTGTCCATATTATCGGGGTATCCGCAAGGTGAGAGTTGACTGTAATGACCTCCTCTTCCACTCAGTGACCTGCTCTTCCATTTATTGAAAATATTTTCAGAACAATGGAAAAATGCATGAAAACCACTTAAAGACAGTTTTGCGTAGAAAGCTCTTATACATGTTTCAACTTGAATGACTCAGAAATAACAGCACGCTTGTCCACGGAAAACAGAAACTACAAGGGCGCCCAGATTAAGTTTAGAAAAGAACAATGAAATGAAAGAAACGTGACCTAGTGTTGACTGTGGGGAAAAACAGGACAAAATCCTACTAGCCCGCCTAGCAGGTACTTATAAAAATCTACGCAGGCTAAAAGCCCACGAAAGTAAAGTCCTAAGAGAATGTCTTCCTAAACGATCAAATGTGAGTGACGACAAACAGCCTTGGTGGGTTACTAAGATACCATGTAAATGTCTTCTTAACTGAAACTGTACTTATTACTCTACTAAATACTAACGCAAAAATCAAAATATCATGTTTAATGTATATATAAAGTTGACAATGTTTAACAACTCCAAGAATAAAGCCAATGATTTATTATAAAACAGGACTAAAATCTACCTTTAAAGGTAATCCCCTTGAAAATAATGTACTCTCCAGATTTTTTCAAACTTGGCGCAAATGTTAGACATTTATAGAACATTTAAAAAACTGCAATAAAAAGATAGGGTCACTGTGCTTGTTTTCGGCCTATGTGCCCATAATTCTGAGTGTTTTTCCTAGTTCGGCGCGAAGTGTCCAAAACTTAAACAACCGTCAACAATTCTTAACAAAATACAACTTCTACTGACTGTCCAGATTTTTTCGTCTAATATATATATATTTTGTGTGGCCATAACTTTATACACTGTATGTGATGGCTGTCTATGCTTAGGACAAGTCATCCAAACTGCTGATACCATGTACTAACTAGATGCATATTGGTTTGATTTCGTGTGAAAATTTAACTATGGCACTGATGTACAGTCAAAAGAGAGGGTTCTATTCACAGAGTCATTGTGTTCATAGTGTTCGATAACATCTATTTGGACGTAAAAATAGGAGGTTTTCATACGCCCGCAAATTCAAAGGCTCTTTTCCACGATTCTATTGCGCCGTTAAGATCCCCAACAGAGTCTTGTACCTCAGCAAGCCACTGGTAGCTGCACACCGTATATTCGTGACATCCAAGCAGTTGTGATCTCATGTCTGCCGCTTTCTGTAGAGAGCTCAACGCAGAACTTGTATCACCCAACGCGAAATATGCAAGTCCGAGGGAATGAAAACTAGCAGCGGTATCTGAATGGTTCCCTAACAGTTCCTGCCGTAATTGTAGTGACTTTTGGAAAGACTCGACAGCCTCTTTAAAATCTCCCATTTCCATCTGCACTTCACCACGAAAAAAGTAGCTGTACGCCGTATCTTCATGCTTACCAAGCAGTTTTAACCTCATATTTAGTGCTGTCTGGAATTTCTCAAGAGCCAACTTGTTGTCATCCATCGCATGATAAACACGCCCTAGAAGATGGATGCTCGTGGCTGTGTCCGAGTGATCTCCCAAAAGTTTCTGCCTTATTTGCAAGGACTTCTGGACAGACTCGAAGGCTCCATTAAGATCTCCAATTTCCAACTGCACTGCACCGAGCCACAGATAGCTGGTGGACGTATCATTGTGATCACCAAGGATATGTGCTCTCATGTACGCCGCATTTTGAAATGCCTCAAAAGCTAAATTTATTGCATCCATTGTCAAATGCAAACGACCCAGATTGTAAAAGGTGCTGGCGGTTTCGGCATGAGCCCCTAATAGTTTTTTTCTCATGTCTAAGGCCTTTTGCAGGGAAATCAAAGCCTCATCGTGGTCCTTCATGTAACCCTGTGCTACACCAAGGCAGTGGTAGCTACATGCCGTAGCTTCGTGTTCACCAAGTAGTTCTCTTCTCATGGATGCTGCTCTCTGGAGTTCTTCAGCAGCTGCCTTATGATCATCCATTTCGAAATTAATAACTCCAAGAAAATGAATGTAACTTGCAGTATCGAGATGAATCCATGAAAGTTCATTTCTTAATCGCAAAGCCATTTGAACAGCCGAAAGTGCGCCACTGAGATCTCCCATTTCACGTCGTAACTCTCCAATTTTATAGTAGCCCCACGCCGTATTTTCGTGGTCATCTACAACAAATACAATATTCTAGTCAGGGGCGCGCGTGGCTAAAAATTTTGCAGAGGTACAAACACTCACTTACGTATCAACGGCCCTAAGCCGTCTCCCAATTCGTTTTCACGTGGGGACGTTATTAAATTTCCGCTTTTTTATCAATGTCGGTGAGGCTATGATTTCTCATGGCCTTGGGATCATGTACTTTTAGGCAGCAGTTGCGGCTTTCGCCAGTTGCAAATAAATAACAATCATTTACTGAAGTGGAGATGGGCAGTGGTGGTGATTTTTTGGAGCCACGAAGCGGCGAGATAAATATCCACTACCGAAACTGAGGTAGTTTTAGTTTTAGTTTTGGTTTTACAAGCTTTTCTGGACACAGGCGTGCCCAGAGGGAATAGGCACGAACGGGACTCATAGGTCCCATGCAAGGTGCCATCCCTACCCAATCCCATAACCCGTAAAGGTCGGCCACACCACCGGGGTCTACGTCCCCTACTGTTTTCGAACAGTAGTGTGGGTTCTTTTACGTCCCACAAGAACAGATCAGTGAAAGTGCTGTGAGACGGGACCTACGGTTTTTCGTCCTTATCCGAGAAGACTAGAAAGTCTAACCATTTGCAGATGTCATTACAAAGGCAGCACTTTCTTCTCAGTTATTTAAAGACCCTAAGTGTTGGTCCGGTCGGGGTTTGAACCCGCGACCTCCCGCTCAGCAGACCCACGCTCTCCCAACTGAGCTAACGAGGCGGCTAGTTTATAATGGTTTGGCAATACAAAGCACTATAAGTATTGACCCTAAACAGCAACGTCTTTCCTCACTGAAGGGTTACCTAAACAAAACTTTTGAAGGCAGCTTTTTAGCCCTTGCGGGTCATTTCTTTTAAAGCAGTCGAGAATTCTTTCTGTTTTTAAAACCATTCTGTATATAAAAAATATTAAATTTACGTTTTAATGTTATTAAATAAGCATATAGGTTTCTTTTACACTATAATCTCAAAAATAGAAAGAATTCACTACTATTTTGAATTTTTTTTTATTATTTGGCCATCCCCTTTTTTTTTCTTCATTCACCGTCAAATGCGTTTCCTGATATTGGGTCGGTCGGTCGGATTGAAAAAAAAAACCTGAAAGAAAATCACAAGAAGTCTCGGAATAGTAGGTCCTGGTACCCCAGGACGACGTTAAAAGTTAACATTCACATATTTGGATTAACAAAATGTACAGTATACTGTGAAAAATGTTCATGTTTTTGTTCCTGTTTTTCTCGATGCTATTACTAAGCTCATTTTTGAGATTAAAAGAATTACTTCAAGTGAAAAATGGTGTAAGTACGTCGTTACTTTTTTTTTTGAAAATGCCAAAAATGTGGGTCGGTCGTACGACGGTAAAAGGAGAAAAAAAAAAGAGGATGGCCTTACTATTATTATTTAGGACTATTATTATTATTGCAGGAAAAAGTCACATTCATGGACACAAAGAAAATCGGTTAGAATTATTCAAATTCAGAAGGCACTTTGGAGAAATAAACCAACCTAAAACTCTTAATCAGCCGCAATGAAGAACTTTACATTTCTAAAGAGGCCAAAAAAGAAAATGCTCTTGCATAAGAGAGCAAATCATGCCGACCAGAGCAAATCAATATGCGTGTCACGTTCTCTCAGTAGGCAATATAGTTAAGGTGGCTCGACCCAGTTTTTTTTAGGGGGTACCATCCTACTTTGAAGCTCTCTGGTATCCCCACCCTTTACTTTTATCGTAAGTATAACACATAGAATGGATAACATATAGATCAATCTACAATATAACATAAAATTTTTGGCTATCGGAGTAAATGTCACGTGGTTATAATGCCACGCCCCTTTAAGGTCTGAGTCGAAAATCTGCTGTTGTCAGCATTTTTTCGTGAAAATCTCTCGGCTACACATAATGCGCATTAGTGCCTTGCGCTGAACAGAGTTTCACCAAAAAGGCAAAGACCTAATTCGAGAAATTCAGCGGTTTCCAAATTTCGGTCATAATTATGCGATGGGGATACCAGACAGCTTCAAAGTAGGATGGTACCCCCCCAAAAAAAACTGGGTCGAGTCACCTGAATAAGCGGCCAAAATTCACATTTCCTCAGTCAAAACGTTTTCCTCCAAAGCATAATCTACCCGACAAAGAAAACAATTCATTTGAACAAGCAGCATTTTGGCACGAGTTAAAAGTCATGTGTTGCCTACCGATCCCCCTATTTTACATAGGTCGGGTAACAATTACGGTCGGCCGTTGCACGGAACTTGAAGAACTCTTCGTATGAACAAAGATCTGTTAAATAAGGCTGTTGGTGGGACACAGAAAACATCCTTTTCCCTGAGCAGCAATTCCCAAGCTTCCCTCTGCTCCGAATTTAAAACAACCCAATTCTTGCGTGAGCAAATCAACATTCGTCATTTTACAGCGAAAGCTTTATAAATCTATTCATCACGGTACGGAATATCGCGAATGACTGGTTGAAAACATTACTTGACAGCTTGTTGACAGCTTGTTGACAGCTTACATCGAAATTTAGCCAATCGGAATTGTCCGTGGCTAGGACAAGCGGGTAATTCGAACGAATATGACGTATGCAAAACGGACAGTCCGTATTTTTAGTGTCTCTCCCCAGTCTCGCTCTCTGTTTTCAGCCTCGTTCCAGACCTTCTGTTTGACAGCTCGCGCGTACTTGAACACGCAAAAATTCGGACTGTTTTGCAGTCTAGCTACTAGTGGGCTATAACATATAGCCTAGTAGTAGCCCAACCAATCAGAACGCAGTATTGATGATAGGCCACGAGTTGGAATTTACTAAAACTATATATTAGCTTAACACTTACCCAGGGCTTTATAGGTGCAAACCAGTTGCTGTAAGGTTTCGGCAGCTTCGGTAACGTCGCCTGAAGCGTGTTGTGAATCACTGAGACATTTCAAGCTTAAGGCCGTCTCCGTATGGTCGCCAAGCAACTCTTTTCGTAACTCGACGGCCTTTTGAAATTGTTTGACAGCTTCCTTGTACCTGCACATTTTGTGGTAGGTAATTCCTATTTGATGGAGGCTGGCAGCTGTAAGGTTGTGACTACCCAAATGTTTTTCCTTGAGTCGTAGGCTTAGATCTAATGCACGATGGAATGAATTTTCAGCCTCCTTATATCTTTTCATCTCCAAATAAGTGGCGCCCTCGTTAAGTAGGCTTGGTACGGTCTCCACACTATCTCCTAGGTTTTCTTCCTTTATCCTTATCGCCCACTGTAGTAACATGAGAGCTCTACCGTAGTCTTTCCTTCTAAGATATATTGAACCAAAATTGTTTAAAACTCTTCCAAGTCTTACGAAACATGCTTGAGCAAAGTGTTCATCTTTTGACTTAGCTAGGATACGTTCAAGTTCTTCACAAGCGGTAACGAAATTGTCTACATCAGCAGTAGTACCATTAATATTTTCAAAGACTTGCGTGAGCGAAATCAATGATTCAATAGTCCCTTTAATTATAGAACTGTCACGAGCCGTTTCCTTCGTTTCTCGTAGAATACTGGTTCTCATTTCTAAAGCTTTCATAAAGGAACAATGGGCAGCCTCGTACTCCTTGAAATTTTTTTGCGCCTCACCGAGTGAGTGGTAATTTCGGGCCGTGTCCTTGTGGACTCCCAAGACATCTTCCAGTTGACGAGCTATTAACTCAAAGCCTTCTTCTGCCTCCTTATCACAATGTAATCTCTCTAACCCTTTGCAGCAAGTCTCTAACACCCTGGCAAGGACACGACCTTCTTGAAACATCACCAAAAGAACTTTTTGCAGCCTTAGAAGAGAACTGGTGATAACAGATAGTTCCATTTCAAACTGATCACCGAGAGATTTGTAAAGGGGAGGAAGCAATTCAGCTGTCAAAGCAAAAAGGAACGCATCTCGTTCAGCAACAGATTCTGGAAGACAGCGCACATTTGATTCTCTAGATGGCAGGGTGTCTCTTGAAAATAGACTACAAAATGCAGGGGACAATGATCCAGACTCACTCTCAATGCTGCAGGCATATGACGCAGTTTCATCGTTTTGTCGATTCCTGTGGCAAACTGCAAGGACATGGTAGGCTAAAATCATAAACACCTTTTCACCGTAGTCAGTATTCAGACGATCTACAGAACGCTTAAGAAGCAGTATTCCTTCTTCAAGCTTACCACAAAGAATTTGATAAATACCACCATAACAGAGTAGTTTTGGTGGACAATCAGCAGCATCAATGAAGCTATGTTGCAAGGGACTGTCAGGGTTTTGTTCATTTGAGAAAAAGAAACCTAAACAACCAAAGGACTTTGCAGCAAGCAGTTTACGTTCGATGTCACATTGCTTCTTCCTCCTTGCCTCTTCAACAGCATTGTCATAAAGCCTGTTAAAAGTCAGTTGTTCGTCGTGTAAAACAGAAAAGAGAAAAAGTTCTGCCTTAGACAGCACCTCTGTCGTCTTGGCGTACAGCTCGTCCTTCCTTGTTCCATTAGCTAGCGATTTAATGATGTTTTCTCGGCGACTTACAAACTTTTCAACGGCGTCATTAGAGTGGCCCGTAAAAAACATCTCATTAGCAACCTCGAAGCTGCTGATGTAATGTTCGTAAAAGCGAAGTTGTGCTTTGTCAAAAGTAGTTTTAGTTGCACCGTCACAAAATTTATTCTCATCAATAAAAGATCGTAGTAGCGAATGAATTGTGAAAGAGCAAAAATTTTCGCGGGATTCTATTAATGATTTTGCTTCCAGTGCTCGTAGAATTTTCTTGCTGGTTCGTTCCGGAGCTTTTTCTAAGCCCATTACGGCCCTAGCTTCTTTAGCTTCAAAGTTACCAGGAAAAACGGCCAGAGATACGAATGCTTCCCTCTCTTTGGGTGACAGTCTTTGAAAAGACGTGTTTATTAAAGACTTTAATCTTGAACAGTGAGGTAAACGGTCGTCGTCCAAAACCTCAACAAGAGTTGAAGTCTTCAGCTCCTCTAAGAGTTCATTGAGAGGAACGTTCTCTTCTTTCATGATGCCACACATAAGACGCATGGCCAGGGGAACCTGTCCACTCTCTTTTAGTATGCTACTACAGTTGTTCTCTGATACACTTGGCAACAGTGATTTTACTAACTTGGTCGAGGAAATCTCGTCCAGTATTCCAACTTTCTCGAGATGAATGGGAACCTCATGCTTCAAATAGTCTAGAGATTCACGAGTAGTAAAGAGAAGCTTGATATGGCAACACTGGGCAAGAATGTCTTTTGATAATCTGAGAACCTCTCCTTTGACCGTAGTGTCTCCAGATTCCAGGAGATCGTCAGCATTATCCAAGATTAACACGAATGGATTCTGAAGCTGTTGCAAGCGCTGAATAAGCCAGTGAGACGGGGAGATATGAGGTACTTGTTTGACATCCGCGAAAATACTGAGCAGCTTTGAGACGAGCTCATCTTTGCTTTTCATTCCCCGTAGGGATACAAAATATACTGGAATCTTATTTTCCAGTAACTGATGTGCTACGGTGAGTGCCACTGAAGTCTTTCCAAATCCTGGTGAACCCCAAATATCGACCAGACGAGTACTTTTGCTACTTGTCAAATGACCGAGAATTGCCTCGCACTCTTTTTTACGGCCGTAAAAGTGGGGTATTTTATCAGGCACAGTGAGGCCAGGAACCACGTGACCTAAATGGCAACAACAAGTTATTACAACAATCATTTTTTACAAACTTACTTATTTTTTATTGATTTGATTGAGGATCCCATGAGAATACATTTCAACCCCTCTAGGTTAAAACCCGGTTGTGATAAGCTGATGAAATCGAGTGCGCTGAAGGCAGAACGTTTGCATTTATTAATTTTTAATAAATTATTTTTCAGTTTTATGACGGAGATTTTCAAGGTTTTATACCCAAATATTGAGGGCAAGCTGAACGTTAAAATCATTTGCGATAACTACATGAAGCCACTGAAAACGACTGATTCCGCAGTGAGACGTTTTGAACGAGAAGTCTTTGAAAGGCTGAATTGACACACGCGATAGCCTATAGAAACAGAGACAGTTGTTTCTCAACCTCTTTCCCAGAGTTCTCTCTCTTGCTTCGAGAAAGGCAAGAGAGAGAACTCTGGGAACGCGGTTGCTGTTTCCTTTGTTTGTTTGTTTGTTTGCTTTTGTTATGGGTCTTTGCCAAGCATGGCCTCCAGTACTGGATGCGTTTTCGCGATTATGTCGGATTAAACGTGTAATTAGGCCTCAAAAAACTGTTTAGAGGACGAAGAAACCTAAAAAAGAAAGGAGCATTCGTGTGAAGGAAACTCCGTAAATTAAAACAAATCTTTGAACATGTACGTCACAGCCCCGCCCTATGAGGAAAAGTGTCTCGCTTAAATTTTCGTTATTTACAGAACAGAATATTTCATTTAGCCCTGTGTATTTTTTGTTATGCGTCACATGCATAAGACTTTATGTCAGTGACTTTATATTACATCAGTTACACGCACTTGTACTACCCATGTACGTTTTTCTTTCTCTTAAGGTATTTTGATGTCACCTGGGATCTATAACAGACAGATGACGTAAAAATTTCGTAAAATTAGATATTCAGTGGCATACAATTGTAAACATGTATGGAAGGTTAGTGGAGGTTCAAAGATTTGGAATGTACTGCCACTTAACTTGAGCATAACCACTTTTTAAATTCTTTAGATACTTTTTGCTTTTTATTTCCGCCATCTCGGCTTTTCATTCACTGGAGAAGCTATTTTAACTTGTCCTAATGTGCGAGGGTGATGTCATCCTAAACCTTGTTCGTTACAAATTTAACTCTTGCTTGACGTAAATGAAGGATGTTTTTGCACGCTGAGCCATCCTACCATTATTTTGGCCGATCTTAAGTGTGATGCATAATGATATAATTAACAATTATTCCTCGAGCCCGAATGGGCTCTGAGTCAATAGCCCATGAGGCCGAAGGCCGAATGGGCTATTGACTCAGAGGCCTTAAGGCGAGAGGAATAATTGTTTTAGTAAAATCCAACTAGTTGGTAAAAAATATCCCGAATAAAAAGAATTTAGCTAGTTAAAGCTGGACTTTAATCCTTTTTTGCCGCCAAAAAGCCCGCACTTTTCGCTACTAGTGGGCTATAACATATAGCCTAGTAGTATCTCAACCAATCAGAACGCAGCATTGATAATAGACCACTAGTTGGATTTTACTAATATACTAGGGTATCTAAAAGATAGTAACGCTGCGGCACATTCTGTTGATACTGGCATTAGTTAGGCAGTGAGACTTACAAGAATCGAAAATGACATTGAATGTCCTATTTACATGTTGGAAAGTACTAGAATAATTACTATCAGTCTATAGAAAGAATTCGTGGGAACGTTGTTTAGAAAATGATCAAGTGGTTATAACTCTGGTTTTCCCACAGTAAATTGTAGGAAATAATAGAAATTCAGATTGTTTATCCATATATTTACTATACGGTGCACGATATTTTCTCCGGAAACACAATACTTTTCTTGCTGTTTTGTTGCACTTTACTAGAAACAGTTATTTAGCTATATATTTATAGAAAACAACAACACAAAAAACGGAAAAAAAAACAGAAAGAAGTTCGCATCGTTCGCTGCCCAGACTCAGAGTTTTCTTTGTAGCAAATTTTCTACAGCACGGTTGGAGGTCTTACCAAATTTAAGACACGCAGGAGTCTTTCAGATGAGTACGATGGTTAACTTGGGGAGTGGATTTCAATTCAAGAGCCTGTGACTCGTCCAGGTGTTAAACCTGACGAGAAGATGAGTATTTGCTCTTCGACTCCGCAACACGGGGGATATACAAATTCCAGCTTGCTAGAAGGTGATGTGAAAGTGAGAAAATGTCATGCCATGCTATTCTTAAGAACCTGTATGAGCCGAAAATGCGGCTGGCGATCATCTTGCTGGCGGAATTTTCATGGAAAAGGAATAAAATGAAAGACTTTTCCTAAACATTACGTAATCAGACTCTGTGGTGTAGTGGTTAGGTGTAGTCGCGTCGAGCCGAAGGTGCAGGGTTCGAGACCTACCGAATTCTTTATTCCTCCTAGTGTATATAACATTCACAAGCTTTGAAGAAATACACTTTAGTTGCAAAAATTAAGCTACTTTCCTCTTACCTTTCGAGCGTACCAAACTAGCTTTTAATTCTTCCATTTCTGTTCTCACACCTATCACTGAAGTTGTCATATCTCCTAGTCCATCTTCTACCGCGGTCCTCAGGTCTTGCATTCCGCTTTTAACATTCTCGACTTCTGATTCGACTTTTTCCACTTTTGTAAGCGTATCTAGCACTTTAGTTTTGACATCTGTGACTTGATCGTCGATATGGTATATGTCGTCCTCGATCGCCCTCCGGTTCTCTCGTCTCAGCTCTTGTTCCAACTGTTGAACCCTGGCAGTGGGAAAGTCTCCTTCCGCGAGCTTTCCAATGTCATCGATCCTGGTAGAGCTTTGTCCAAGTGCTGCGAACGCATCTTTAGATAGCTGTATGTACTGATCAAAGGTTTTCTTATCAATCTTTGAGCTGTGGTTGTGGCAAAGGCTGTTTCGTAACAGACGAAGCTGATCCAAAGCTAAGGCAAATGTCTCATCGTTGTTGCCCGAAGTGCTTGTAACACTTGCATGAAACACCCCTCTTGGCAAACGATGGGCTTTCACGTACAGATCGGCTAAGGTCTTTCCTCTCCCGCCTGGAACTGGCACTGCAAAACTTTGAGCATAAAGAGTGGCTTCAAACAAAGCTGTGCAGTCCCACTTCTCGTATGACTCATTGGTTGGCACATTTTTGGTCTTTCCACCCTCCTTACTAAGGAACATGTTCCGAACCAGTAGCGAGTCATCCCATGTTTTGAAGCTGGGAGTAGGAGCAACTTTGGTGTCCCACAAGCTTACAAATACGTGGCGCAATGCGGTTGGAAATTCATCAAGAATAACAGAGGCGAACTTGAACAAGTTCAGTTGTTCCGAAGAAAATGTACTCATGATCGGCAACAAAGTGATTCAGTGACAGCTCGGGTTGGAAGCTACAGCTCACTCAAAGGAATATCTAAAAAAGAAATGAAACGCATTTTTAGTGTTGCTCCTCTTGATATTAACTTACCTTGCACGATAAATACGACCTTAAATAGACGTATTTTAAGATTTGTTTTAAAGGACTGGGACTCGAACTATGATGCTCTTCTAGACAAGGCTGGTGTGTGTGGTTTAGCCAACAGGAGGATACAAAATATGATGATTTGTATATTCAAATGTCTCCATTTTGGTAAATATCCGTGCTATTTAAAACAACTGACCAAGTTAAGATCTACTGCTTACTCCCTACGGGGTACTAATATTTTATCACTTCCTAAGCCGTCTACAACCACATATGGTCTAAATTCCTTTAGCTATTCATCTGTTAAGTACTGGAATTCTCTACCTGATCACTTTAGAAAGACTGTAGATTATAGTGAATTTAAGCGCAAATTGTTAGTGCACGGTTTTAGTTAATACTACTTTAATTAATATTATATTATATATGTTGTAACTTTTAAAATTAGTTAGGATCGGAGATACTAGCTATGTAAGCTACACTAAAATCCGAGGATAAATAGAGTTTATGTATGTTTGTATGTATGTATGTATAAAGTGATTCTACTTCCCGTGAATTAGATATAGCAGGCTGTTACTTACTATTATACACTAATTCTACTGTCTCCTTTTTTTACTTAAAACTATTTGTCAGAAGTTGTTAGTATCTATTTCAGAGGTTTAATACAAGTAAATCACTCCAATCTCCACGTAATTAGAACTTAGATCATCGCAGTTAATGACTTTCCTTCATTCATTATTTCATAATGTTAATAATTGTTTACAGTATATTGTTTAGTCATTTAAACTATTCACTTTCCAAAATCATGACACATTTACTTCGAGGGTAGAATTTCCGTACAAGCATGCAACAAAACGACGACATTCTCGCATTAACTGTCCTACGTATAACCTCTACTACTGAGGTCCTTTCATATACTGCAACTATGCACATCAAAAGCAATAAACCCTTTGACTAGTTTTTGCAACTCTTGACATGTAGCAGTTAGAAAATTCGTCGAAACCACTGAAGAGCACCTTAATATCAGTAAACTTGCCAAGTTTGAAAAGTGACGTCTTAAGCGTGTGAAGATATAGCTCCAGAAAGTTGCGAAAATATACAGAAGTTTGTATGCTGTGCGGCAAGTGTGCCCCCCACCATCGCTAAAACGTCCGTCTTTAAAATTTCGCGCGACTTTGAGATGCTTTATCTCCGTTACTTTTCAACAAATCACTTTCAAACTTCGCAACATTTATTAATTTTAGGATGGTTTTCCCAGCTAGTCGACGGATTTATTTGAACAAAGTTTGAAAGAAAAAAAAGTTGGAAACGTCTGTTACACGTCAAGCTATTGCTGCGAGGCCTAAGTTTTTTTCTTCGCAATCTGAACGCAAACTTGAGTGCCAGTATCATCTCACAGTCACCTCGAGCTCGATCGCTTCGATTTACATGAGAACCGGCTTTAAAGTTCAAAAACTTGTATAACTTTTTTGTATTTAGTTCTGAATTCCCATCGCAGGCACCATTTCAACGCGGTTGCGTATTAACCCATTGACGCCCGGGACTATATATGCTTTCGAGTGATTTTCTACATACTAACAGTCCATAGGATTTCGTACCAGTAACTCCGTATCTGGAGTTACCATGGAAAGCGGTGCTTTTCTGATACACTGAAGGCTCGATTTTTCTGGAAACGTCGTTCTGACGTAGTCATTTTGCTTCGTTGAGCTGTAATAAGGGATGGACCATTTTATTTTTTTTTTGGGGGGGGGGGGGCAATTTTGTGTTGGTAAGAATTTTTTTTTCGCCTTTGGGCTTTGCAAGAATCTTTTTAGTGCCTTAAGGTTGTGCACGAATTTTTTTCTTCGGTTTTCAGTCTTCATATTTATTAAAGTATCACCAAAAATGAGCATTTCATGAGGTATGCCTATACAAGTATAAAACAGAAAGTGATACATGTACCTCAAGCACTGCTTTCTCTCCAGGCTGATACAAGCTGCAGGGCCGTAGGAATAGGGGTGGCCGAGTAGGCCTGTACCCCGTCCCCCACCCCCACTTTTTGGGCAAAAATTTAAAAAAAAAATGAAGACTTCCAAAATACTGAGTTAATAACACAACGCAATTCCACTTTTGATTTTAAAAATATGTTGTTAGGACTAATTTTTTAACCTCTTAAGTCCGTTTAAATCCCTGTAATGCTAGAAAAGCACATAGATGGAGGACAATCTAACGCCCATTTCCTCGGAACTGAACAAGACTATAATAGATGCATGAACGGGATCAAGTTTAGATTGATCAACCAGGTTATAAAATCCAGGGGCTAGCGTCCACAAACGCACATACGCGCGTGCGTACAGCTGAAATCTGGGAAATAGTTTTTGTACATGTATACTGATTTCCTGAAAGCATTTTTATCATTAAACAAAGGTAGCTGATAAATTTTTCGCATTGTGTTGGTGTCTTTTGCAAGTCTGAAGAGTAAACGTCTCGCCCTTAGCCAGCGAGTCACTAGAGACGAGGAGAGACGCAGACATGATGGCGTCACTGTTTTACCTTTTTTCCGTGAACACTGTACCTTAACGACAACACTAGAGATGGGTAAAATATGTTTTAACCATTTGCATTTTCTTTCGTATTTATTCAAATGTCCTGTGGATAACGCGGGAAATGGCGTTTCCGAGCCCCTAAATTTAAAAATTTTCTGGAGGAGCATGCCCCCAGACGGTGATCCTCCCTAGTTCGGATCGCCTTCCGACTTCCAACTTTTTTCCTTTGCGCACACCTTCAAACTCTACGCTACACCCCTGAAATTTATCAGAATCTTGAAAACTTGCTTTTCAAGACAGTTTCAGGATGACATTTGTCAAGTGAGTCATTATCAACCTAGCTGCCACTTTTATGGTTCAGATGTAAGCTGGGAACGTCTTGAAACGCAGCTTACTATTTTGAAAATGCATGCTCATGAAAGTTCCATTGTCTAAATGCCATCCATAATAGAATTTCTTGATGCAAAGGGCATTGCTTCATTCAATGAGACTGCAACAGTTTTAGTGAAACTGATATTTGTTATGCCTGCCACAAATGCTTTGAGTGAAAGGTCTTACGGTGCCTTAAAGAAGAATCTAGAATTACCTTAGGTCTACCATGACGCAAAAATGGATGAACAAGAAAGACGCGGACAACTTAAATCTAATTGATGTTGATAAAACCTGGTTTCCATATGATCGTCCGGATCGTCCCAGTCGTCTCAAAAAATGTTCATACGATCGAGACGATCATATGGAAACGCTATCCAGACGATCCCAAACGACCCGGACGACTGAGACTACCTCGATCGCTTGGATAGAGTTGAGTTCTATCCGGACGATCGGGACGATCTTGTAAATTTTGAAGCGATCATATGGAAACGCTCTCAGACGACTGAGACGGTCGGGACGATCGAAGGCTATCCCAGAACTCATCACTTTTATTCCAGTAATCGAGAAAAAATTTCGGCTCGGATAGCGCTGAAGCCGAAAAAATAATACACAAATGTTCGCAGCGCGTATGGGGGTTATTTGAAATTGAAGAAAGTCCGTGACATCAAGTTTTCGAAGAGACAATATGTCTTCGGGAACTCTTCTAGTTTCTCAATGCTGCAAAATCAAGAGAAAAAGCAGATACCAAGGTACGAGGTTCACTTTACGAATAAAAATCGTCCATTTATGTGGCTTGTTTGCAAAACACGCGCAAAATTCTATTGTCTGACCCAGAGACATCGCTGACGACCCCGCGTCTCTTGCCTTTGAGGCGATCGAGACGATCATATTAAAACTAGCAATCGTCTCAGTCCTCCGGATCGTCTCAAAATATTTTGAAACGACTGGAGCGATCGGGACGATCATATGGAAACCAGGCCTTTACACCAGAGGCTCTGACAGGTTTTCAAAATTTGGACACTTTTCAGAAGTCGACCTACGTTACACATTTAGGTAATTAATTGGTACTGTTGGAGACCAATATATTTACAATTGCTGTGGTCAGGCTGGTTAGTCGATAAATTCCATAGCCTCAACTGTCACAATAACATGGTACTTTTGAGTAGACACTTAGCCTTCTAACTTTCGCGCAATGACTCGATTGGAAACGCTTGCTATGCAGGCCGGTAGACACTCGGCGAACACCGGTCCCTTTTTTCTTTTAGCGGTTCATAGGTTTTTTTAACTACAATACAGGTTAAACATTGCTTGACTGGGATAGCCTGAAAGTGGAAATAAACTATATCTAAAAGTTTTTTTAAGAAATGGCCCAGTATGCAGTAAAGCGAAACCCCGCTTTACGGACACCCACTTTATTTGAACACCCCGTTCTTACGGACAGTTTGCTTTCTCCCTGGGGAAAGAAAGCCCTTACATTTTCTCTAAATTCTACCCTCTTAATGAGCATCATTAAGTGTGACGGTACTGAGCTAAGAGTCCACTTTCTCAAAGTAGCGAGTAAGGTGATGTACTTTGTTTCCGAATTTGGCTTGTTGCTCGTGGAACTGGAAAAATAACCACTCCGAAACGAAGTAACTTTGGGACTCGACTACTGATGAATTTCTTGGCCTACCACGGCATATTTTAGAATTTGCGACCACTGAGAACTACAACAAGGGTGAAATCTCCGTAGTAGGTCGGAGTGGCTGTGGACTTAGTATAAATACGGAAAAAGTGGGGGAAGGAACGAACGCTGTCAAAATGCCTGGCTATTTCCCAGCATGGATTGCAGTCGTGATGTTGAAAATCGAGGCAAGGCCAGGATGCACTAGAACAAAAGGCTCTAGCTCGGCCCCGGGAAACGCATAAGAACAAAAAAAGTCACTTCTAATCTAGAACAAGGACTGAATTTTACTGTGAATATTGACTTTTGGTTTTGCAAAGATAATTTCTGT